AAATTTAAATAGGTACTTCATGCATAGGATATTTCTGATGTACAATTTAATGTTTTTGTTGTTGTTGTTTTTCTTGGTTTTGGTAGAAAACAAATGTAAAATTGAGGTTAAGATTTAGAAGAGTTATCAATATATCCAGGTCAGACTATTAGAATTTCACATGTGGCAGTTCTATAGAACTAGTTTATCAAGCACAACTCTTTAATTAGCATTAGAACTAATTAGAACTCTTTAATTAGCATTTCCTTTGAAAATATCTAAACAGGACATCCAAACCAACTTGAAAACACATACGGCCACCTCAATTTTTACTGTTACTAACAGTTTCTTCTAGTTTAGGTCACTCCTCTATAGGACTTGGTCAAATCAAGATATAGCTAAATGTGGTTTCACCAACACATGCAAACTCCTGTGAATACAGTATTTAAAAAGAAACAATAAAAAAGGAAGAAGTTACTTAGGCTTTTAGGCGTTTATTAAAGCTCTTTTAAGCCTGCCCTCATTACTTTGGTGAACATTTGCTTGCATAAATTCTGAAGAATGAGGTTAAGATACAGTGAAGCTCATTAATTAGTGTGCCACTAATTTGGACTTGCTGTTTTACAGCTGAGATGCAGCTCTAAAATGTACTGTCCACTATGGTGGCCACTAGTCACATGTGGCTGTTCAAACACAACTTACATAACATGAACTAAAATTAAAAATTCAATTCCTCTGGCAATAGATACATTTCAAGTGCCCAATAACTACATGACGCTATTGGCTACCACACTGGACAGTGCAGATACAGACCATTTCCCCTAGTATGCGAAGTTCTACTGATAGCACTGCTCTAGAAGATTAAGATTTTAAAGAAGCAATATCAAGACCAAATCATCTGAATGAGTATAGTTCATCACTCAGAGCATTTTTATAATTTATCTTTGGAAAAGATTTCAGAGCCCCTGTACAAACCACTTCAAGAAAACATCGTTTCGTTTCTTCTGGGTTTGCTAAGTGCCTCCTCAATAGCACACTCCAGGTAGTGTGCTACATGTAGGGACTCAAGGACTAATCAGACACAGTCTTTCTCCTCTGTGCCATGACTTATTTGGGGAACAAAAAACTAAGATGTAATGTAATAGGTCTATAAAGGTAAGAATGTACAACATGCTCTGGGAGCAGAAAGAAAGGAATGATTCTATTTAGGACATTAAGAAAAATGCCTTCTTTTGCAAAGAATTCAGCAGAATGCCACACTAGGGGGAAAATTTTTAGCATAAAGGCTTTGAAAGACTACTACGATATTTTAAAACAAAGGGCTGGCTAGAAACTATATATTCTGAAGAGGTCATTCTGGTGGCCATTAGAGCAGGTAAGAAACTGAAGGCAAGACCAGTTGCCAGGCTACAGAAATAATTGGGGTTAGAGATGTTAAGGGCCTTAATTAGGTCAATGGCAATGGGAATCTAGGCAGAGAACAGATTCAAGAGAAGTCTGATTAAAAATATAAAGCTTGATCATCATCTACTTTATTCTTCAGTCTTGGCTCTGTATAGCATTGTGCAATTTAAAAAAAAATCATCCTCTAAAGATTTATCACATTTGGGGTTATTCTAAAGAATTAGTTGCAAAGACTCCAAACAGTGTTTCAGTATGTTCAACTTTTATAAAAACAAAGGAAGAAACACTGTGGGGTGGGGGGGGTGGGGGTGTGTGTAGACAGATACAAGAGATTTTTTAAAGATACAGAGCAAGGTCTTAGTATCTATAGTTTAAATGATTCTGCTAATCTGTATTTTCTGTTTTTCTGTAATGACAAAGCATCTTTTTTAATAAAGAAAAGGTTTTTTTGTTTTGTTTTGAGATGGAGTCTCACTCTGTCACCCAGGCTCAAGTGCAGTGGTGCAATTTCAGCTCACTGCAACCTCCGTCTCCCGAGTTGAAGCGATTCTCCCACCTCAGCCTCCCAAGTAGCTGGGATTACAGGTGCCCACCACCATGCCTGGCTAAATTTTTTTAATATATATTTTTAGTAGGGACAGGATTTCACCATGTTGGTCAGGCTGGGTTCAAACTCCTGACCTCAAGTGAGCTACCTGCCTTGGCCTCCCAAAGTTTTAGGATTACAGGCATGAGCCACGCACCCAGCCAAATTATTTTTTAAATAGTAATTTTAAAAATCCACAACCATTATACCTAAGAAAGAGTTCTAAAAATCTTTTTAACAAGGTCAACATGGCTAAAATAATTTCTCCAAGTTTACTTTAGGACAACACTCAGTTGAAATACTAAAATAAGTTGCACTATTTCATAACTATACCTTCTAAAATTAAGGTATTAGTGGTATAAACCATTCTTAAGTGATCTGTGTACCTATTTTGCTATTGTTCACTACATTAGTATTACCATACATAATTAAAATAGAAGTTGTCTATAATTTCGACCTTCCATTACCTTGTAATTTTGTCTTTCTTTTTCTTCCAGGGAAATAATGAGTTCTCTAACCCTCACTCCCACCCTGCAAAACCCTATTCCCCATAGATATAATTAATGAGCTCAGGTTTTCCATCTGGACCTAGAAACATGAAATGCTTCTTCTGCCTCACTCCTAGTTTTTCCAAAGCAAATGAGTTTATACTTGGATACCCTCACTGTTGCACTTCTGACACTAGGAATAGCTAAAAAGCATCTTCTCCACACCTCTGTACAGAATGGCCAGAGCTCTCTGTATGTCCTGCCTTACAACACTGTCTTCTCCCACCTGGATCTCCAGAAGCACCTTGATGGCAGCTGGGAATGTGTCTCTCAAGCACACCACAAGTTCCCCCAGAGCTGTAATTCTACAGCTTTCCAGCAGGCCCCATTCCCACCCTCCAGCCCCCTCCTGGACTATGTATGAGGGAGAGATGAGGTGGTGGATTGAGGACATTTATTTAACAAGAAGTAAAAGGAAATATAAACAAATCATCATTTTTCATCTGGAACGCACAAGTGAATTAATCAGAGAATTTGTTAAGAAATGGGTTATTATCTACTCTGGTGCAGTAGCAGAAATTAACATTTCTGACTTGCCTTGTTTCGCCAATATTTAAGCATTTTGTTCTATTGAATGTGACTACATGTACAGACACTTTTATTTAGTCTCACACATGAAAAAAGAAAGCAGAAGGCCTGTTATCCAAGTGGTTTCTCATCCAAGCATTTTTATAGCAAATTACTAAATCTAGTTGAAAACAATAGGAAAGAAGATACTTTTCCCTCTAGTATTTGTTCTATCAACCTAGACTTAGCAGCACAGAATATCTGGAATTGCAGTTAAAATAGAGGCTTCCTTTTATAAAATAACATTTGAATTGTTGCTGTATCCATGATCAGTATACAGACCTGCTAAAAGCAGAGAATAATGGTATGTTCTTCTCTATGGGATGAGTATTTCAGTAGTTTAAGAAGGAAAGAAAATCCTGAAAAAGAATTTAAGAAAAATATTAATAGAAAGGAGGATGCTTCAAAGTAATGCCTGGATGCATCATTTTCCCTGCATTGAAATATTTTTTGCTGACTATACGGCACTTATTCTATACCTTTTGTTAATTCACAAGTAAACAGGTGGCAACAGTAACTATATTAAAGTAGAAAGCCTTGCTATAAATGGAAGTCAGAATTCATAATTTAGAAGGCAACATTGTTCGCTTCAGATCTACTTGTTATAAATGGTGGGTTTGAAAACATGCAACCTCATCTTATGAAGTACCATAACTAGTATTTAGTTACACTAATAACTCCCAATTATGTAAACAATAGATATCCCCAAATCATATTTGGGTTTGTTTCAGAGATATTTTTGGTTCTTGTATTTGGACCTAGGTACTCTTGATCTAAAAATTCACTCAACCTCGAATAAAATAACGAAGGCACCGGCAAAAAACCTGATAGACCTGAGGATCGAAATCCCTTGCTTTTAATAGGCGATACAGTGCATTCTTACTCTCTCCTTTCTCCTAGATCAGCAGGTGTCTCCACCACTCCAATAGACTGAGGAAAAGGAGGGGGCGACAAGAAAGGAAAGGAAATTGTCTAGGTGTCCTGGTGGTGGAGGTGGGGGGTATTTTAATTTCATAATTAAAAGCTCTCTTCTTCAGCTTTCCAGTTTTTACTCCTATTTTGTAATGATTTGATTGAGGACTGTGCAGCAGAGTTTGGGTATGTACATCGCTAACATAAACGGAAAGGAACAAGGAAGGAATGGATAGGAGACAGCAAAGGGTTGCGGGGAGAGAGCAAAACGTAGGCGCTTGGGGACGGGAAGGGAGAGGCGGATTTGGCAGTCAAAGAGGGACGAGAGGAACAGGAATGGAAAGTGTGGACTGGCCGTCCAATCCTATGGGGGAAGGGGAAAGGGGGGGCCCACCACGTCGCACTCCTCCCCACCTCCAGGCTTTTCGTGTGTAGGTTGAGGCCATCCAAGCGTACACAAAAGGGTCGGTTGCTGAGCCAGAAAAGGCTGTCTCCCGGGCTGCGCGAGCTCGGGGTCGCCTCTCCTGGGCTCAGGAAGGCGGGCAAGGATAAGAAGGCAGAGGCCCAAAGGCGGACAGCTTAGTGGGCGCCTGGAAGAAGAAGGCAAAAGGCCACCAGCCCAGACCCCGAAGGCGCTCGCCCGCGGGACTAGGCGCCGCAGGCCAGGGCCGTCCGTGAAGGGTAGTCTGTGCCTACGTCCTGCCCTACTGGTACCACTCGGACTATCCCCGTCCGACCCTTTGCAGGGCTCGACTTGTCTCCCCCACCATCCGCCCCTAGTCCAGTTTCTCCTGCGCGGTCCCGGTGCGGGGTCTTCTCCTCGTCATCTCGAGCGACACTCTGCAAACAATATGGCGGCCGGGCGTCGACCGCGGCGCCTTCTCTCCGGGCCCTCGGGGTTGACAAAGGCGGCTACCGCCGGCGCTCCTGACCCGCTACGCGCGAGCCTCGGGCGGGCGGGGGAGGCGGGAGCAAGACACCTGTGGTAGCTGTCGGGAGCCGTGTCCGCGGGCCTGGCGCGCGCGGGGGCGGCCGGCGGGGTCCCGCGCGGCCTCGGCGTTCGCGCGCAGAGCGCGGTCGGCGGGCTGGCGAGCGGCGGCGGCGGCGGCCGCGCGGCGCGGCGGCGGCGCCAGCTAGAAGCTGCAGCCCAGAGCCCTCTCGCGGCCGCGGCGGCAGCAGCAGCGCCAGCCCCAGCAGCACTGAAGCTGCCGCCGCCGCCTGGCGCTCCCGCCGCCCGGCCCGACATGAGTGAGGCGGGTCGGGTACCCTCGCCCGCCACTCCGCTGGTGGTGGCGGCGGCCGCGCCTGAGGAGAGGAAAGGGAAGGAGCCGGAGCGCGAGAAGCTGCCGCCCATCGTATCGGCTGGCGCCGGCGCGACCGCGGTAGGTGGTGGGCCGGGGCCGCCTGGCGCCCCGACGGCGGGAGTCGGGAGGGACTGCGGACTGGCGAGGGCCGCCAGGAGGCCCGCGTCTCCCATGGGCACCCCCTGGCACTCCAGGGAGAGGCACCCAGGCCGCCCTTCCTTGGGCAGAAATGAAAGAGTTGTGCCTCGTGGGCAGCCCAGAACACTTCGCGAGCTACATCTTCCACCCTCGGGAAATGTTGGGGGTGGTCGGTTCCGCTCGATGTTTGCGTTATTTTCTGGGGCTTGGGCCCCACTTTATCTAAGAGAATTACCTGCATCTTGAGTCGGCACGATCTGTTGGATGAGCATAGGTGTCAGCAGGCGGGAGTGGGTTTTCCACGGAGGTGCCTGCCTGCCCTGGAGGCGCGCAGATTTTTGTCCTTTTCTTCGCGTTTCTTTCCCTTCCCCCTTCAGATTAAACAGGCTGTGCGGCGAGTTTCCACTTAATTGTGACCTTTCCGTTGCTGTCAGGGTAGTGGGAGGTAGATGCATCAGTAATGGTTTTATTTTTCATATGGTACAGACATGTGACTCAGGTAGGGGGAGGCTTTTTGAACCTTTTATTTAAACCCAAGTTATCTAAGCTTAACAGGGATGATTTCCCAGCTGTATCTTCGTAAGGGTTATTTGGAGAGCGCTCTCAGGCTTCAAACTACATATTGCCAGATGATGTCATGGGACAGCCCCCTCCCCCTCTTTCCCTGTTTTTACTGGTGGTTGTGACTGGTTAATTCGAAGCACAATTAAAGAAAAAAAAAAAACTCGGCTTTTGCAATTTTTTATTTTGACATAATATTTAAGTACTTTTTGAAAGTTTACTTTGATATATTTAAAGATCATGACTTGTCAAGCAGCTGTGTGTGACAAAATAGTAAAAGTTTAGTGAACATTATACATTTTATTTTTTCCTACTTGCAATTCATTTCTTAAAACCTCCCTCTTAAATGACTAAGAACTTACTAAAATAGCTCACTCTTCGTTAAGTACTGTATTGGTGTTAGGAATAATTTTTGGATTTGGTAGGTTTTTCAAAAATGTCTGAGGGCCCTGATAACTGGAAATTGTTAAAACAAGCTCTTTAAATCGATGCAGCAAATTGTGAACAGTAATGATACACATTTGAAAGCGTAGTTACAATTGATTGGTAGATTGGAGCTGGGGTTAGGGATTACCCTGGGAAATGCTTTGAAGAAATTTGTCACCCAGCAGCTTGGAGATCTGGTTCCTGCTGCTGGTACCCTAGGTTTTCAGATTTTGTATAGGAAGTCTTCAACTCACAGAATTACAGCAGTTCCTTTATATGTTGGTTGTTTAAAACAGTAAATGTATGTACTTATAGAAACAGTTAAATGAGTGGGTTTAGGTCCTCAAGCAAACGCTCTCCCAAAAACCTATTTATCTCAGTGTAACTGAAAAATTGCCGTTTTGGAATAAAAATTTGCAAGTGTCGATACAAGTCTACAGTCTGCTTTGGGATTTCAAGTTTTTCAGATTTTAGAAAGGTAATTAGGTACATATATCATATATTATTTAATACCCACAGTAAGGTCCTAGCCAGTTCTCTCTGATCAAGCATATTAATAACTGCAGTGAAATGTATGTGTTCATGCTAAAGGGAAAAAAGTAGCGTCATGTCAGTTCAGATCAGGTGCATGTTTTTGGCACCAAATGAGTTGCAAAAACATTTCAGTTTCAAGAATTTATAGGACTTTGAAATTGTAAATAGAGGATTATGGACTTGTACTACTAGACAAAGAGAAGAATATATTCAAGAAAAAAAAATCTTGAATTAAACTTTGAAAAGATATAAGTTGGAATAGAAGAGGATAAGGATAAATATGAAAAAACTTGAGGGTTTTTTTTGTTTTGTTTTGTTTTTTTGAGACGGAGTCTTGCTCTGTCGTCAGGCTGGAGTGCAGTGGCACGATCTCGGCTCAGTGCAATCTCCGCCTCGTGTTCAAGCCATTCTCCTGCCTCAGCCTTGCTTGTGCCTTATAAAGTCTTTCAGAGTCAGTACCATTGATTTTTTATGACAGGTTTTTTTTAACAGAATTTATGACAGGATCTGTGGCAGAATATGTGTGTGTGTGTGTGTGTTTGTCAAAGAGAGACTTCAAAGCTAGAATTCAGAGCTATAGCAGTGAAAAGCTTAAATGTAGAAAATCTGTGCTTGGTCCTTAGTCCATCCAAAGGATAAGAAATCCAGGAGAACTGGGGTGGTGATTGACTTTCGCAGCGGCTAGGAAGGCCGTGGTATGTGTGGGGAGGGGAAGGAGATCTTGGTGTGTGAGGTAGGTGGGCAGGGAAATACAGCTTATGGCCTCTTGAGTTGTTTTTCAGCCTCCTGTAGATTAAACAGAGCTCCTAGAGGTTTGCTTATGAACCTAATTGTCATCAATAACTTTTTCTTTGAGACATTCCAGTTCTTCCTTTTTGCCCCAGCCTAATGGTTCTACCTGTCTAGTTTGTGTCTGTGATTCAATTTGTGACCCTACAATAGTGGCTTTTTCAGAAAACTATTGTGTCACATTTGTAAATGAATATATATGAATAAAATAATATAAATATTATAAATAAATAGAAGGTCAGTTTACAGTGACCCTAATTAAAGTTGAAGAGTTAGGCTGTATCGTGTACGTTTACAGACAGGTACGGGGTAGGAGAAAGAATGCTGGAAAGGACAGCCCTAAAGTGTTTTATCCTAAGACCATCTAAGAATGAAGGAAGTCCATTCCAGCTAGTGAGGAGGTGCCTAACACAGTGGTTTCAAGCCTGACTGACCGCAGAGTTACCTTGGTAGCATGTTAAAGTCCTCATTCCTACATCTCACCCTAGAGCACCGGTTTTCAACCTTAGATGCACAGTAGAATTAACTGAGGAACTTTTAAAGCCATCATTATCCAGACCCAAATGCAGGCTTGTTAAATCAGAATTTCTGGTGATGTTGCTCAGGCATCTTTTTTTTAATTTAATTCCCCGGGTATACCAAGATTGAAACTTGACACTCTATATACCGAATTAAAAGCTCCATGGGCGAGGTGTAGGAATCTGTATTTTTAAATTACCATCTCCCAAATCTACTTAGTTTGTGGAGCAGCATTTGAAATGAACTTGTGACAGGTATGGATTAAGTGAACGAGAGACAGCAGAAATCAGGCATGGTGGGGAATTGAAAGAAATGGCAGTGAAAGTGGTTCCAGTTGGTGATGCACAAGAGGCTCAAGATAGAGCCCTCAGAGACTTTCAGTGTTTGGGTCTTGGCCTTGCTGCTGTGGAGAGGTGATGCAAGTCCATGGAGCCAAGCAAAATAAAGAATTTGAAGTAGTGTATGAATATGAAGGGCTGATAATATGAATATTAAATTTACTGAGGTTGATGGATTGGAGTGGAATATTATAAATTAGTTATTGATGTATTGCAGATGTTTAAAAAAGTGGTGAATGAGAAAGAAGAAAATGCTCAGAGGTGGGGCAGAAATAACGGTGTCAGTGAGGACAAATTTGACTTTTTACTTCTGCGCCTAATCAGGTGAACAGAAGAGAGAGGTTCTACATGGGGTAGAACCCTCTGGATAGGGTACCAGTACAGTGGGTTCAAGAAAGAGCTAGATTTGACTTAGGTCAGGGTGGTGAAGAGAAATGGGAGGAAATTAGTTGAGAATTTTAAAGGAATGTTAGCCTGTAATAGAAGACAAGAGGAAGAGCTTGAGTGTGAGCATAATGTGTGTGGAGAGGATTTGATGGAGTTTAGTAACAAGAATGAGAAGTTTGCTTATCAGGTGTGTATAAATGGGGTTGATGGAGTCCCTGGGACAAAATGTAACTGCCAGTTATTGGACATCTTTTATGTTTAGTTTTGTACTAGGTGCTACAGAAAATGCAAAAAGACAAGGTTTTAAAAAGTGGTCTCTGCCTCGGGGTATGCAGGGTTAACACATGAAAAGCAAAGCAATATGTAAAAGCCACAATGAGCCATAGAAACAATTTGTACTATTGGAGATTAGAGAAAGGCGATCACTGTATGCAGAACTATGAAGAAAGGCCTTGAAGTAAAGGTAATTATTTAAGCTGGCTGGCCATTGAAAAATGATAGGATTTGGATAGGCAGAAGAAAGTGGGCAAAGTAATCCAGTGACGAAAACAACATGAGCAAGGCTTAAAAGGAAAAATTAGTGAGTAATAAAGTGAGCCCAGTGGAAGCATGCTGGGAACTTGTGGGAGGTAAGAAAGATTGCATGGGGGCTGGAGCCAGATCACTAGGCAGAGAAGCATAGACAGTTTTTTTTTTCCCCCTGTGGTTAGTGGGAAGCTATTGGAATTTCTGAAATAGAGGAACAACATAATGAAATCAGTGGTAGTGTATAGTTAAACTGGAGGAGGAAGAAAATGAAGAAAAGAGCTTTGTAGCTCATGCCTGAAGCAATGAGTGCATCCACTAAGGTGGTGGCCACAGGACAGAGTGTAAGGGATGAGAGCATACACACCATGTGGAACCTAACTAGACAGCAGAAATGAAAGGGAAGAAGCATTAATAAAGGAAAAGGACTCTGAGATTTCCAGATGAGGTCAATAGCATTCCAAATTAGAGAGAGAAAGAGAGTGTGTGTGTGTGTGTGTGTGTGTGTGTGTGTGTGTGTACATATGTGTACTTAACAATAATATACCCAGCTAGGTATTTGGAACAATCTTGTATGGAAAATGTTGTGCCCTTTGTTCATTATGCTCTAAACAAGAGGTGAGATGGGAAAGAATGAATGCTGTGGTGATGATGTTTTAAGTAATTGAAGAAACTACAGATATTACAAATATACAAAATAAGTGTGTATAACAATAATAGCTACTTATTGAGTGCCTACTCTGTGCGAAGCATTTGCCTTGTATTCTTTTATTTAGTTAAATAATGCAACCAAAAGCAATCACAACAACCCCGTGAGGAAGATATTTTCCCACTTCACAGAAAAGGAATCTGAGAGTCAGG